TTTGGCTACTGTCAGGAAGCATGCTGGAGTCACAGCAGTGGGTGACATAGGAGCTTGCTTGTGCTTACCTGTGCACTGGGACGCCGTGGGTGCTGGAGCACCACTTCCATTGCAGTGGAAGGATGGCCTTGGGCCCGCCCCACTGTTGGACTTCTTGGGCCCAACAGAACCAGCTCCTGTGGCAGACTGCTCTGGCCACACAGTCACTTCGTGCCCCAATGTCCCAACGTGCAGTTTTGTTTGTTTTGTTTTTGGAACAATGTCCATCCTCTGCCGGGGAACGCACAGCCTGGATCTGGGATCATAAGGTTACGCACTGTGACTCTCTTACGAGGCTTCTGCTAGAAACGCCACCTGGCTCTGTCTGTACCACAGTTATTTCTAGCACCAGGGGTGTGCTCGATTTTGTGAACCAAGCAGGAGGTCGCTGGCCCTGCATCCTGGCAGGAGTCAAAGCAGCAGTCCCAAGTGTGAACTGTGTTGCATCCAAAACCTCCAAAGACCCACCAAGGCCTATGTGCCTTTCTTAGTGGCAAGAGATCAAAAGTGCAGTAACTTGAATTTTTGCCCAGGCTGGAGTACAGTGGCGCAGTCTCAGCTCACTGCAACCTCCACCTTCTGGGTTCAAGTGATTCTGTCTCAGCTGCCTGAGTAGCTGGGGTTACAGGTGCATGCCACCATGCCCAGCTAATTTCTGTATTTTTAGTAGAGACGGGGTTTTGCCATGTTGGGCAGGCCAGTCTCGAACTCCTGACCTCAAGTGAGGACAGGCCCAGCCTGGGAAACTCCTGTTTTTAAAACCATCAAATTGGCCAGGCTTGGTGGCTCACGCCTGTAATCCCAGCACTTGGGAGGCCAAGGTGGGTGGATCACAGCCCCCAACATGGGCAGGCTGTATTTTTTTGTACTTTTTATAAAAATACAAAAAATTAGCTGGGTGTGGTGGCGCACACCTGTAATCCCAGCTACTCAGGAGGGTGAGGCAGGAGAATCGCTTGAACCTGGGAGGCAGAGGTTGCAGTGAGCTGAGATCACACCACTGCACTCCAGAAAAAAAACAAAAACAAAAACAAAAACAAAAACGGGAGTGTCCCTGCACAAGCTCGTCTCTCTTTGCCTGCTGCCATCCACGTAAGATGTGACTTGCTCCTCTTTGCCTTCTGCCATGATTGTAAGGCCCCCCCAGCTATGTGGGAGTATAAGTCCAATAAACCTCTTTTTTTGTAAATTGCCCCGACTTGGGTATATCTTTATGAGCAGCGTGAAAACGGACTAATACACTGGGCATGTTGGTGCATGCCTGTAATTCCAGCTACTCAGGAGGCTGAGGCAGGAGAATTGCTTGAACCCAGGAGGCGGAGGTTGCAGTGAGCTGAGATCACGCCACTGCATTCCAGCCTGGGCAACAGAGTAAGACTCTGTCTCAAAAAAATAAAATAAATAGGCAGGGCATGGTGGCTCACACCTGTAATCCCAGCACTTTGAGAGGCCGAGGTGGGTGGATCACAAGGTCAGGAGATCAAGACCATCCTGGCTAACATGGTGAAACCCCATCTCTACTAAAAAATACCAAAAAAATTAGGTGGGTGTGGTGGCGGGCATCTGTAGTCTCAGCTACTTGGGAGGCTGAGGCAGGAGAATGGTGTGAACCTGGGAGGTGGAGCTTGCAGTGAGCCAAGTTCGTGCCACCGCACTCCAGTGTGGGCGACAGAGCAAGACTCTATCTCAAAAAAAAAGAAGAAAAGAAAAGAACAGAGAAGCAGAGAGAAGCCAGGCTAGCTGCCCCAGTAAAGACTCAGGCTCTCATGATCCCAGGCCACTTCCAGACTGAATCAGTTCTCAGCTGTGCCGCAAGTGATCCCTGCCCTACAGGGATCCGCACACATTACTCAGGAAACTGTCTTCTTACTATCCAGTTTTGAGAGTTTTTATATATTCTGAATACAAAGTGGTTTTTAAAAATCCTATGTATGATTCACAAATGTTTTATCTAAGTCTATGTTTCCGTTTTTGTTTTTTTTGAGACAGAGTCTCCCTCTGTCACCCAGGCTGGAGTGCAGTAGCGCGATCTCGGCTCACTGCAAGTTCCGCCTGCCGGGTTCACGCCATTCTCCTGCCTCAGCCTCCCGAGTAGCTGGGACTGTAGCAGGACGAGCCGCAGACAAAACTCCTCAGACACCAGATTAGAGACGAAGAGGTTTTTTATTCGGCCGCGAGCGTCGGCAGACTCGCGTCTTAAGAGCCGAGCTCCCTGAAGAAGAAATACTCGGCCTTTTTAAAGGCTTACAACCTTAAGGGATCCATGTAAAAGGGTCATGATAAATCAAGCAAGTGTGGGGAACGTGACTGGGGGCTACATGCATCAGCTAACAGAACAGAAAGTTTTACAATGCTTTTTATCTTACAGTGTCTGGAATTTACAGATAACACAAGTAGTTTAGGTCAGGGGTTGATGTTATTATTATTATTATTTTGTTTAACTCCTAGGGCCGGGTGGTGGTGCCAAGGTTGTCTGGCTATTTATCTTACTTTTGTTTCTTTCTCTCCTTCCTCCTGTCTTGTGAACTAGGCAAGGTGGCAGGGGGAGGAGGTCAGCAGTAGTAGTAGTGGTCTCCTTCCTTAGGACTACAGGTGCCTGCCATCACACCTGGCTAATGTTTTGTATTTTTTGTAGAGACGGGGTTTCACCGTGTCAAGCCAAGATGGTCTCGATCTCTTGACCTCGTGTTGGGATTACAGGCGTGAGCCACCGCGCCTCACCGAGACTGTAGATTTTTGCAACTTTTTTGTAAGTCTAAAATAAGCCTGTAATCCCAGCACTTTGGGAGGCTGAGGCAGAGGATCACTTGAGCCCAGGAGTTTGAGACCAGCCTGACCAACATAGCAAGACTCCATCTCTGGGAAAAAAAAAAAAAAAATTAGAGCCTGTGGTCCCAGCTACTTGGGAGGCTGAGGTGGGAGGATTGCTTGAGCCCAGGAGTTCCAGGATGCAGTGAGGCATGTTGAGGCACTGCACTCCAGCCTGGGCAACAGAGCACGATCCTGTCTGAAATATAAAATGATTTATAAATAAACTGTGTTGTTCAAGCTCAGGGTCTGAGTTATGCACCGCTTATGATCTACTCCACAGAAGTTCCGATTTCTTTTCTGTGCAATGGTTCTGCCAGCCTTTCTGCCTCCCAGAGGTCCTGGTGGGTGGGCATCACAGGCTCCTTAGGGCTCTGTGGAGGCTCAGGGAGGAGCTTTCGCTTCCCTCCTGATACTGGTGCCTCCAGAGCTAGACAGGAAGATGGAAGCTGGGTGGCCTGAGCAGGGGTGGGGGCTTGGCTGGCCCTTCTGTCAGCTTGAGCTGGCTTGAGCCCAGGCAGGGCCCTGATAGCCTGGATAGGCTCAGAGGGAGGGAGGTGGGGACCAAGAGACCCGGGGAGGGTTCCTGGGGCCAAGACCCAGGTCCCTGCCCTGCATATCCGCCAAGGGACTTCCTCAGAAGCTGCTGATGTCAGGCTTTGGCTTCCTGCTGCAGAATGAGGGGATGAACTTCAAAGGGAGGACACTCAGGCCTTGGAGGAAATGAGAGCTTGGCCGACAGGAGGGCCTGGACTCGTGAAGACACATGGACACCCACAAGCACAAAGACATGGGTGTGTGACAACGGACTAAGGGGCATGCAGATATGTATGCATGGTGCACACAGGCACTCTGGGCACAGCCCACTGGCACCGTCAACCGCTGTGTGGTGGCCTGCATCCCACCCTTCAGGCAGGCCCCGTGGGGCAGGTTTCAGGGAGGAAGGAGGCTGAGTGGGCAGTCTGAGGACGCGGCCACCACTGCTCCCTGGCACTGCATCTGTGTCCCAGGATCTAGGAGGCACTCTTCCATCACTGAGCCCCAAGATGACTGTCACACCTTGGTCTAAAGCAGGGGCCGGGCCTGAGCCCTGGCCCCTGCCCTGGAGGAGCACACAGAGCCCCCAGCTGGGGCATATCTGGTTTCTGGGGGCGGGGGCGGGGGCGATACCCAGAGCAGGAGGAAGAAGGGATTCTGAGAGAGCCTGGCAGGCTCCAAGCCTCAGGCTGGAGCTGGGCTTGGGGCAGCAAGGAAGGACCAGGTGCGAGGGCAGAGCCATGCGGCCCGACCCCTGCAGCACGGACTGTACCTCCGTGTGGTCTCCCCCAGCTCCTGCCCATGCTTCTGGGTCAGTCTGGACTTTGCCACGTCTGACCAAAAGCCACCGCAAACCCACTCAAGCCAAAAGAGGAAGTGGCCATTAGGCACAACTGCTTAGACTGGCAGGCCAGGGGCGCTCCAGGCGGGGCGAGGGAGGTGGCCGGGGGCGCTCCAGGCAGGGCGAGGGGGACACCCAGGGCTCCAGACAGGAGTCCTCAGGTGCCGCCTTTCCTCTGCCTGGCAGTGTGGGGTCTGTCCTCCTCAGAGTGGCCCGCCATAGTCCCCCTCCCCACTCCGAGTTTCCTGTCCCAAAGTTCTAAGGAAGTTTCCAGAACTATGTCTCACCATCTTGAGTCAGCCTCGGCTCAGTGTCCATCTCACAGGCCTGGAAGGGGCAGGAGTCAGCGCTGTCCAGACCACAGGGCCTGAGTGTGGGGAGGGCTGCTGTCTTAGGTAGGCTGTGGAGGGTTGTTACCTTGAGGCAAGAGGGCTGCAGGGCAGAAAGTCATGGCAGGTGGCTGTTGTGGAAGGCCCAGGAGAGGCCTGAGAGAGGGATGGCCCACAAGGGTTGACCCTCCCGCCACCCAGGGGGCCCTTGTGCAGGGAACCCCTGCAACCGACTGAGGCTGGCAGGCATGAGGTTTCCTGAAGGAGAAAGAGCTTGGTGGGGCCCAGTGTGGCTGGGGGGCGCTAGGACTCCATTCGGAAGCCAAAGGCACTGGGAAGGGCTTCCGCAGAGGAGGGTGCAGCAGGGGTTGCCGAGAACAGTCTGGATGGGGGCAGGGAACAGATAAGGTGGGTGGGGGAGTCAGCCGGGAGCCTGGAGCTGGCTCCAGCATAACGTGGGGGTCTCCAAGGCCCTGGAGAAAGTGGGGTGATGCAGCAGGGGGCACGCCCACAGCTGGAGCTGACCCAGATGGACAGCTTGGGCTCTGCCACATGGGACTAGGCAAGGAAGCAGCACGAACAAGCAGGAAGTGGCGAGGCAGTTTCCAGCTGGCTTCTCTCCCCTGTCCAGACTTTGGTTTCCTCCCTGCTGGCCTGGCCTGGCTCCCTGGCTCTGTGTGGTATGGTCACACCCCCACGCACCCCCTCCACTGAGTTGGGGCGGGGAGAGCACTGAGGCTGCTCTTCCTTTCCTGGGCTGACCTCTGAGCAGCAGACGGGGCTGAGTGTTCCCCAGCTCGCCTCTACACACAGCCCGTGCCACCGCAGCCGACGGCACCATGAAGGACGAGGTAGCTCTACTGGCCACCGTCACCCTCCTGGGAGTCCTGCTGCAAGGTGGGCTGGCTCCTATCTAGGAAGAGGGTGGGCCTCAGATTCCTACAGCCTGCCCTCTGCCCCCTAGGTCCAGGTGGAGGGCAGAGGCAGGGACTCCAGCCCAGGCCCAAGCTGGAGGAGGGTGGGGACTTCCAGGGACCTGGGGGGGCACCTGGCTGTGAGAGCTGTAGGACTTGGGGGTGGCAAGGGTGCCAGAACAAATGGTGGGATAGCCATGGGCTTGGGGAAGCTGAGCCCTGCTCTTTCCAGCTGTCCCCTCTCTGGGCGTCCCAGCAAGCAGCCCTCAGTCCCTGGCCCTGCTTCAAAGGAGGCACCTCCATACTGGGACCATGTGGAGCAGGGCAGAGGTGGGACTCCTTCCTCCAGCCCCCTAAAAGGAGCCTGCTTAATGCCTTTCTCAGATTGGCCCTAAAGGACACATTCCTGGGCCAGATATCCTAGCCACTTAGAGACACCACTGCCCCACAGTGTGTGGGCTAGGATAAGGCACAGCCTGGGGAGGGGGCTCTGAAGAGGCTGAACAGACAGGCCAGCCTGACCTCCAGCTGCACCCACACTGAGCTGGATGGCCACCCTGTGACACCCGTCTGCAGGGTGCCCAGCACCAAAGGTGCCAGGGCTGCAGGACTCAAGGGGAGATGGTCAGACGGGAGGTCTCCGGAGAGACTGCACAGCCAGCACTGACCTGTGTGTGGTCTCGCCTGGCCTCCCCTGACCTAGGGAAGGGCTCCTGCTCACAAAGAAACTTTGGGGCCAGCCCACCCTCTGCAACTACCCCAGCCCTGGGGTCCTGGGGTTAGGCTAGGAGAGTCCCAGCTGCAACCTCCTGGGAGCAGAAGAGAAGGTGTCTGTCAGATTTAGGCCTGGGACCAGCATGCAGGAACAGAGAAACAGGTTTGGAGCCACAGGGACCCAGGCTTTAGTGATCCTGGCCTGAGGCAGGGTCAGAGGGCCCTGCTGGTGGGCTCTGGTAGGTGGGTGACCAGGGACTGTTAGCTACAGGGCGTGTGCTTCCTTGCACCTGGCAGGATGCGGCCAGCTCTGCCCTCAGGCTCCCGAGGCACTTGCTGGCCAGCGACCTGAAAGCTGCATTTGCCTGTGTTTTGCGAGTGAAATGATTCAGACACAAGGACTCAGGTGATCTCTCTCTGAGCAGGTGTCCCTGTGCCTCAATCACCCACCCTCCCCCAAACACTCACAGGTTGGGACAGGGCCTCTCTGCGCCCCAGGCTTCGGTCCTGCCCTCCCCGCTGAATGTCAGCGACACAGGGCAGGCCAGGGATGGGTCAGACGGGAGGTCTCCTCACTCAGGAGAGAGCGGGGAATTGTTCCGCCTTAGGGAAGAGAGGACACGGCCAAGTGAAAGATCCTTCCCACTCCCATCTCCGGGGCTTCGGGTGTCCAGACCTGACTCCTGCTCCCCCTCCTCCCCCAGCCTACTTCTCCCTGCAGGTGATCTCGGCGCGCAGGGCCTTCCGCGTGTCGCCGCCGCTCACCACCGGCCCACCCGAGTTCGAGCGCGTCTACCGAGCCCAGTGAGGCGCGGCGGGAGGGCGCGGGACGGGGAGCGAGCCCCGGGCGGGTCCGGGTCGCAGGACCAGCCCGGCCGGCGTGCTCATCCCACCCGCCCACCGCAGGGTGAACTGCAGCGAGTACTTCCCGCTATTCCTCGCCACGCTCTGGGTCGCCGGCATCTTCTTTCATGAAGGTCGGGATGTGGGGCTGGGGCGCACGCGCTGGACCCCCTGGCGGCCGCGCAGCACGCTCACGAGGTCCGCGCGCACCTCTCGCAGGGGCGGCGGCGCTGTGCGGCCTGGTCTACCTGTTCTCGCGCCTCCGCTACTTCCAGGGCTACGCCCGCTCCGCGCAGCTCAGGTGAGGGCCGGGCGGGCAGCGGGGCGGGGCCGGGGAAAGGTCGCGGGTGGGCGGGGTCCTGGGGAGCGGGGCCCAAGCTGGGGGCGGACGACGGGCCGGAGCCCAGCGCCTTTGGGAATTCGGTGGGCGAGCCCTGGCGGCGGCCGGAGGAAGTCCCCGCGGGGCCGGGGCTGGGGCGGGGAAGAAGCGGGGCCTTCTCGCGCCACCGCCCCGCTGACCGCCGCCCGCAGGCTGGCGCCCCTGTACGCGAGCGCGCGCGCCCTCTGGCTGCTGGTGGCGCTGGCTGCGCTCGGCCTGCTCGCCCACTTCCTCCCGGCCGCGCTGCGCGCCGCGCTCCTCGGACGGCTGCGGACGTTGCTGCCGTGGGCCTGAGACCAAGGCCGCTGGGCCGGCGGAGCCGGGAACGAAGAGCCGGAGCCTCCAGCTGCCCCGGGAAGCGGCGCTCGCCTCCGCATCCTAGTCTCTATCATTAAAGTTCTCGTGACCGAGACCCGGGCTGCGTTTTCTGGGTCCGCGGGGGTGGCGCACCGCGGGCTACGGACCCTGGAGGGGCCCAGCCCAAGCCCGGGCAGCCCGGCGGGCTTCCTAGAGGCGGCGTGGGAGGGGCTGCGAAGGAACGGGACCTCCCCCTGGGGCGGGACTGGACCCGGTCTTCACCTCCCACCCCACTCCCTACTCAGCCTCCGGGTTACAAGGCCGCCCAGTCCTGCCGGGGTTCACCCAGCTAGCGCTCAGCGGTCTGCTCACCGGTCCCCCTCCTCAGGGGCCTCCCCTCTCCTGACTCTCAGCCACCCAGTCCCTCGTTCCCTGGCCTTCGCAGCTGACACTAGCCTGCAGGCGCGGGGCCCAGCACCTAGTTGTGCAGCTGCAGTGCCACCCACAGCCTGTGGATCTCTCCCCCCGTGAGGGCAGGGGCCTTTTGGTCAGCACTGGATCCCCCTTGTTAACTGTAGGTGTTCAGGGCAGCCCTCCCAGGTCCGCGGAGCTGCAGGCACCATGGGAACATAGTGAGTCAGTGACAGGTGGTCTCAAGGAAATGTCCAGAAGGCTTGGGGATTCAGGGGAGGCCCACAAAACAAACAAGTGACTTTTAGCCGAGTATGCAGGAGAAACGGAGAAAGGAGAGCTTGCCAAGCAGGGGCAACGGTGTGTGCAAAGGCCCTGAGGTGAGCGGGAGACCCTAACGTGCCAGAGGAGGGTGCCGGGAACCCAGGATGAGGACCAAGCTGAGACACACGGAGGGGAACAAGGCGGCTGGGAAACGCCTTCAGCTTGAGGAGCTAAGGGAAGGCCTCATGGCAGGCCTTGGACGTGGGGGAGGCATTGGGGGACTTGCTGTGGGTATTGTGGTCCCACATTCTGAGCTGCTTTCACCAGTGAATTACTGCCTTTGCGGCCTGATCTTAGGAACGGGGGTGAGGTGGCGCCGAGGTGGCACTGCGCCTGCAGGCCAGGCTGGGTCCTTGACTTAGCAGGGCAAGCAAGGTCGCTGCTGATGTTGGGTGGGGAGGCCCAGTGCCGGGCTTAGTTGGCAAGTTGGGGCACAGACCAGACAAATGAAGCCAGGCGCAGGGGCAGAGGGAGATGTCCAGGGCGTTCACATTGGAGGCACACACTTCATTAACCCTTTATTACAAGTCACGCTCTTATAGAAGTATATGTGGACTTACGTGAAAAAATCAAATGTATCCAAGAATAAAAAACACAGCACATAAAGTAGTATATGCATTCCAGTGTTCGCGCCAGAGACAGCGGGCGCCCAAGAAAAAGCTCTTCTAAAACGGCCTGACTGGGGCAGGCCGGGTGCGAACGGTTCCGGGCCTCAGGCACAGTGTGGGGGCCGCCTGCCTCCTCCGCGGCCCGGCGGGCGGGGGCAGCACCAGCTCCTAGGGCCTCCGGGCCAGCGGCGGACCCCAGGCTGGCCCAAGCCCGGCGCCAGGCAGAACCCTTCGGGCGGGGCCGTATCTGGCCCTCCGGGGACGGCAGTGACGACATCCCCAGAAACGTGGGCTTCAGGGCTGGCCACAGGGAGAAGCCCGCAGCTTAGTCGGCCTTTTTCAGGAAGATCTGGAAGAGCCAGACCCAGGGTCAGCAGGGCCTCTGAGCTCCGCCAGGGTCTCTCTGGCTACTCCCCGCGCCTGGCCTGGCCCTGCCCGGCCTCACCTCGCTCAGAATCACCCACACAGGGGAGTCCGTCTGGATCGAGAGGCGCAGCGCTTCCAGAGGGCCGAAGGCTGGGTCCACCTCTCCCTCTGCCACTCCCTTGTAGAAGGAGCCTGGGGGAGGGCAGCGCTGAGAGGGTGTCCCCGAACCCCAGCCCACACTCTCCCCCAGCCCCCTACCCACCAATCTGGAGGTAGCCGTCAGGGCTCCGAGGGTACCGGAGGGTGGCGGTGCGGCCCTCCTGCAGGGCCTCCTTGTCCGACTGAGGGTTCTAGGGGCAGAACCAAGGGCTGAAGCAGGTGGCTGCGGGAGGCCCGACCTCAATGCACACCACACCCTACCGCACTTACGTCGAAGGGCAGCACCTCCACAGACGTGTTGAAGAGCTTGTCCTCCGGGTGCTCGATGTTCCCACTGCGGAAGAAAAACCTGCGGCCAGGCAGGCCTGTGAGCTGTGCAGGGGCAGCGCTCCAGTACAGCAGCCAGCGCCCAGCAGAGAAAGGCCAGGCCTGCACCGGGGGGCCCCCAGGCAGCTGTCAGGCTGTCCAAGGAGATCAGGGCCTTCCTCTGGGAGGATGGTGAGGTGAATCATGGCTGAGCTCCTAAGGGCTGCCTGACTTAGTCCTCACAAAGTAGCTACCGTTAGGAGGCCCACTTCAGATGAGGACACTGAGGAATGTGAGGTTAGTTTGCTGGTGGAGCCTACACCTGGGGGCCACCCAGCCCCGCCCCCCATCGCAGACCCAGGTGCGGGCACTGACCGCTCCAGTCTCAGGGGCTGGAAGAAGCGGAAGCGGATGAAGTCCCCCGCGGCAGGAGTGAAGGCCCAGAAGAAGTCCTCGCGCAGGTAGGCTTTCTCCAGGGTGAAGTGCTGGTACGTCTTCAGGCTCGTGCTTACCTCTGCTGGCGGGTTCACATGCTCCTTCCGCAGCGCCTGCTTTCCAAAGTCCTTGTCCTGCAGCAGAGGAGGGACAGCAGTGATGGCATGGGCCCCGACCTGGACCGCGGCGTAGGGAGAGCGTGCAGGGCAGCCCACCTTCAGCTTCTGGATCTTGCCAGCCAGCGAGGAGTGAGTGCCCACATGCTGGAAGAGGGACGGCTTGAAGCGGATCCGCAGGTTGGCCTTCTGCCGGTCACAGTGCTTCTGTGGAGGGCGGGCGACACCCCAGGACTCGGCTGAGCCCTCCTTCCTCCACACAGCCTCTCCTGGAGGCTACCAGGGCCCTCCCACAGTTGACAGTGCCCTCTCTTATGTGATCAGATATAAGGACAGGGGCAGTTTGTGCTGGAGGCTGCCTGCCCCTTGGCCCTGCCCCTGCCAGTCCCTCCAGCTCTTGCTCACCGCATCCTTCTCGGGGTTGCAGACCTTCACCCACAGAATATGGTCCAAGAGCCAGTCAATGGGCTTGTCCCGGTAGAACATGAGGATGAACTCTACAATCAGGCTCAGGTCCAGCGACTTGAACATCTTGCCTGGTAGGAAGGGGGCCTGAGTGGGCAGTGCTGCTCCGCCGCACTTCCTTTCTCCCTGCAGGGTGCCCCCGAGAGTCCCACAGCAAACCCAGGGCAGGCTTCAGGCAGGTGTGAGCACAAGGGGGCAGACAGGTGGTGAGGCCAGATATGGCTGATGCACAGGCAATGGGAACAGGCCAGGCGGGGCTGCAGCACGCACACCAGGCAGGGCCCAACCTGGGCAAAGGCTCATAGCGGACTCAGCGTGGGACTGGGAGAGGACGGCAGAGGTGGGTGGGAGTGAAAGGCACGCTCAGGTCAGGGGGACTCAGCGTGGGACTGGGAGAGGACGGCAGAGGTGGGTGGGACTGAGTGAAAGGCACGCTCAGGTCAGGGGAGGCGCACACCGATGAAGCCCAGCTGGGAGAACTCCAGGATCATCCAGTCCTCTGAAGGCTGCTGCAGCGCGAAGTTCTTCATGGTGCTCAGGTAGTTGGGCTTGGCCACGATGTCATCCTCCAGCTGCGGGTTGAGCAGAGAGGGGCTGGGGCTCAGGAGGGCGCCCAGACGGACGAGAGCCATAGCAGGGCAGGGCAGCGCAGGGCTCGGGGCTGACCTGCACGTAGTAGATGCCTTTGGACTGCGCGTACATCATGAGGAAGCAGTAATCGAGGTTCTGTTTGGTCCTCCACCTGTGGGCCAGGGCGGGGCCTCAGGAGCTCAGACCCCTCCACCTCCAGTGCGGCTCCACAGAGAAGCCGCTGGGCGGGCAGCCTCTGTCCCCCCACCCCCATGCACAGGTCCTCCCATGGAGAATTCAGGGCACTGCAGGGAAACGCCCTGGAATCAGATACCAGTAGATGGGTTCTCAGCACAGGCGGGCAGGCTGCTGGGGGTATGGGGGAGTGCTAGTACCTGACTCTCTCCTTGGGGTCCCCAAAGGACTCTCGGAGGCGGGAGAAGTCAGGGTAGAAGTGGGGGGAGGGTGAGATGACCTCCAGGAGCCCAGAATGGATCTCCGTGGGGAACCTGGGGGACGGGAAGGCCCAGTCCGTACGCAGCCTCCAGGGGCTGAGGGGGGCCGAGCCCAGCAGACCCTGGCTCTTTCTTGAGGCTCAGCCAGTGCCAGCCCCCCACCACCCCCTACACCCAGCCGAGTGAGGCAGCAGGGCTCCACAGGGGCTTGGCCACTCTGCACACCCACCCCTCCCCCACCAGGTCCCTGCCTCCCCACAAGATAGGAAAGGCGCTACCTACGGGGAGGCAGGAACCTGCCAGCACAACACCCCGCAGAGAGCCTCCTGCCACCAGCTCTCTGGGGTCACCAGTACTCACAAGGCCTTGATGTTCTCTGTCACTGCCGAAGTGTACTGTGGGTCGGTCTGTGGGGAGACCAAGCACCCTCCCTTAGTGCTGCCGCTGCCCCAAAAGGCCTGGAAGGGCTTGGAGAAGGGGCATGGCTTCAGATGCCCCCCACGTGGAGGTAGCGAGCCTGCTGTGCTGAGAGCAGAGCAAGGGCACCCCCAGAGACAGCCCTTTTACTTTGGGACTGGCACGGCCAAGGGCGGGGCGAGGGGTGTGCCTAGGGGTAGAGGGCGCCAGGAAGCCCCTTCTTTTCAACTTTCTATCTCGGAACATTTGCGAAGGAAACTAGCAACTGAGCTTCCCACAGCTTTCTCCTCCCGAATGGCTCCTGCTGTCAGTTCTGTACCGCGGGGGCTCCTCTGAATGTCCCCCAATCCCGCGTCCTGGCTCACTTGCCTCAGCGATCAGCACCACGATGACCGAGTCCTCCTTCTCCTGCGGGCTCAGCTCGGAGATGAGCGAGTGCAGAGTGTCAGTCAGGTACGAGTGCACCTCGCGCCGCACGCTCGGGATGCCCATCACCACCGACACTACGGGGGACGGAGGCGCGACGCTGGGAAGGGCGCGGGGGGAACCCGCCCCCCCTACCCCGTGCTCCTCCCTGCCCACGCCCCTACCTCCCGTGCGGCCCTGGCCCACGCGCACCGCGGGCTGCAGACTGCTCTCCTTGGCCAGCAGGTGTGGCAGGTGGTGGAAGACGGTGGGCAGGTGCAGCACGTGCCGGTGTGAGCCGTTCCACGGCTTCAATCGGGGGTCCTCTGGGTGGGTCGTGAAGGATCGGGACTGAGACCAGGGAGCCTACAACCAGCCCACCCCCGCCTTTTCCCCCTCCCGCCCCAGACCTCACCTGTTAGGCGGCCCCAGGTGCGATTGCCGTCTCCGTCTCGCAGCGCCTGCCTTTCCGACACGGCCCTCTTGATCTCGTCCAGCACCAAGTTGAGCTCCTTGGAGCGCTTGAGGCTCTCCTGCTCAGCGGCGTGCAACCGATCGCGCAGCGCCAGGAACTCCCGCTGGTAAACGTCCACAACGTCGCCTGCAGGTGGTACGCAAGCCGTCACGAGGGGGCAGTCTAGAGCCGCCCTAGGGCCCCTTTAGTGCCAGCGCACACATCTGGGTGCCCATCTGTGCAACAGCTCATTTACATCTGTTCTCGTGCCTGCCACACGTGAGACAGCTGGGGTCACTCTGAAATTACACTGACACTAATGCTTGTGGGGAGAAAACCAGGGGAATTTGCCCTCTTCCCGGGGTTATTTTATTCTCTGAGGAGGCGTCTGAAGTGGGAATACAATTTCCAGACCTAGGTAGGTGGATCCTAAGCAAGGGCTGGAACAGCCTCAGACCGAAGCCGCTCTGTCCGTTGGCCTCCAAAGCCCACTCTTGCTTTTTGCAGCACATGCTCCTTCCAGGGCATGGGATACCCAAGGTCCTGGTGCTAGTTCTTCACTGTCCTCGTGGCAGTCGCTGGTTGCCCACCTTGCCCTGGATTGTTGGCCTCACAATGGCCCCGGGGGTGGCTGCTGCAGTTCCAGGAGCCCACCTCACTTCACTGCTCAAGGACAGTCAACAGCAGCGAGGGGACTAGCTCTGAATGCTCTGGTGCCTGTGTCTCTGGAGACCTATGCTGTGCCTGGGGCACCCTGAAGGGTCCGCATGCCCCCCCAGGGGACCCATGTCAGAACCTCCAGCTGGGCCCAGGCATGAGGGCTGTAGGCAGATGGGGCAGCACACAGGTAGGGCTGCCCGACAGTAGAGAGGCACCACCAGTCTGGCAGGGACCAGTGAGCAAGACTGAGATCAACAACCTCCTGGTGGCTGGGTGCCCACAGTCCCTGCGGAAGTACGCTCAAGGCCTCTGCCAGGCGAGCCTCTGAAAACCTATGTGGCCTGCGAGGCCTTACGTTTCCAAGTCTCCAAGTTTAAGACGCCTGACGGAACTCCCTCTACCCACAGACAGCTCTTCCATTCCTTGATCCTGGGTGGGCTCACAGACCCCAGAGTTCCGTGGGATGGCCTCACCCCACCAGCGGCCCTGTGCATGATCAAGGTCATGATCAGGCAAAGTCCAGTCACCTCAGGACACACCCCTTTCCACAGCAGAGGCAGGAGGTCGAAGTGCCAAGCGACCAGGGAATAGGAAGGGGTGGACCTGGGCAGGAGGGAAAGGTGTAAGGAGCAGGGAGCCAAGTGGATCTTCCCTGAGGCATCTCTTACCCAAGATGCTAGCCCCCGCCCTCCCACACCCTGCCTCTCTGGGGCTAAGGCTGAGGCCAAGTGGAGCCTCTGGACAGGCCCTGGCGGGAGGGAAGGGGGAGTCAGATTACCGGATCTGCCAGGCTCCACGCTGGGCTCAGGGGCTAGGTTACCCTGGAAACCTGACCCTTTGAATGCAGAGCTGGCTACCCCCAACACTCACCCATTGCTGGGCGACACCGAGGTGTAGGCAGCGGTTGCCCACAGGGATGGGACTGGAGGTGCAGAGGCCTACAGAGCCATCAGGAGTGGGTTCAGAGCCACCTGCACCTGCAGGTGTGCCTCCCTCCTGCCTAGATGCCAGTCCTCGCTTGCCTACTTACAGCCACTGCCCATCCCCGAGCCCCACCCTGGCTTTCTCTGTCCCACATGACTGCCTCAGATGGACAGGCTGGGTGGGCAGTGGTGGGTGACGCTGCCTCAATCACCCTGGAAACAGCCTGCTCCTTACCCTGGCTTCCTTCCTAGGGGCCTCCCCTCTCCCCCAGGTCCTGTTTACCAGGAGGTAAAGGGACCCACGGGCTCCCGCCTACACCAACCCTTCTGTCATTTCCCTTCACACTGCAGGCCCTGGCCCTGGGCAGCCTCCCCCGCCTGCCAGCTCCCCCACCCGCCTTGCCCTCAACTGTGGGTCGAACTCTGTGACTGCCTCCCCATGGGCCAGGCCCCATGCCAGGGCTCTGCCAAGCCGTGCTGACACCCTATAACCTTCGGGAGCTGGGGAGGCAGCTCAGGTGAGGAGAGGGGCCAGCCTGGGAGCCCCTGCCATACCTTCCTGCCTCAGGGCCACATTGTTAAGAACAGCAGCAATGAGGCCTGGAGGCTGTGTAACCCTCCCTGGAGGCGAGTTATTAGGACCCCCTGAGGCCCGCAAACCACAGTTCCCCCTGCTTCCCTCTTGGTTGGGAAAAGATTAAAGAGCCAAGCTGGGGCACAACCTTTGTGCCCTGTATTCAGGGAAAAGGGACAGGATCAGAGGAGCATAGGCAGGTATGAGGCCCGTTAATGGTCTGCTGTCACCATGCATGTGTGCGGCAGATGTCTGTCTCCTCTCCAGACCCTGCACCCTCCTAGGAGTCAAGGAGGGTGTCCATCATTGCTGAGGTCCAGGCCTGGGGAGGGGGACAGCCTGGAGGCTGGGAGAGCTGTGTGGCTGAGACCCTGGGCCGCCCCAAGGGTCTGCCTCCCTGGGCAGATCCTCAGCAGGTGCTTGGCTGAAGGCCACAGTTTGAGTGCTGGCAGAGCTGCTCCACAGGCCAGATAGGAAACTGGGCCCCAAACCCTTCTCCAGGGTCCATTTTGCATTAGTCTAAAGAGGCCGTCCTGGGCTTGACCTTGGGCTTCCAGGATGACGCCCGCACCTGCTGTCCTTCCTCTCTGGTTCCCTGCCCACCTCCTTCCTTCTCTGCAGATTCCACTTCCTGGGTTCTTCCCTCAAGTTCCTGGACCCCCGCTGGCTGCAAAGTGGAGGCCAGGTTCCAATTTGGCCTCAGACTGGCTAAGCCTGGTTTCACCAGGGGCTTAAGACAGATTTTCTACATGTGACAATGAGATGGGTTCACGTAACAGCCTGGATTCCTAGCTTCTCTTGAGGCCTCCAATGACCTGGTCCTACTGAGTCACCACAGAAACAGTGACAGCCCCTCAACAAGGCAGGCCTAGGTCACCCCCTACTCATGCCTCACAGGATCCTTAGGCTTCCCTCCCCTAGGGGCTGGGTCCTTGAATCTAAGTGCTCCTCTTCTTAGCTCTCCTGTTCCCCAGGCCCTCAAAGAGCCAGCCTCCTGGATGCTCCCCAGGCACAGTGGGTCCCACGGAGCCAGCGCCTCTCCCTCACTCTGCTGTCCCAGAGACTGGCTCCCTGTGGTAAGCCAGGCTTGCAGAGGTGGCTCCTGACATCAATCTGGGGGCATGTGGCTGCTGTGGGAGACACACACTGGCTGAGGACAAAGGGCAAGGGCTCATTGCTCTACCCACGACTGGAAGAGTGTGCCCCAGCCCTTCAGATAAGGCCCCACCTAGGCCTTCATGCCAGTCTGCTAGTCACCCTGCCAAGGACCCAGAATGTCCTTCCCCAGGTGACACACCCTACCTACAGATAATTCTGCCCCAGTCATGCCTGCCCTTGATAATATACGCCACCACCGGGGCCTCTGCCCCGGCCATCCCTCCCCTGTCCGGCAGTCTCCCCGCAGAGTCCCTGGAGCCCCAAGGCCAGCCCAGGCCTCTGCTCTGACAGAACAAGTGCGGCCGGCGGGCGCGCTGGCAGAGCTCGGTGAGGGTAGCTGAGGCTCGGAGGGTCCGGAAGGGTCCAGGTCCTCCCAGCCTCTCTGGGGTGGCGCTCCGGGACAGGGAAACAGGGAAGCAGGTGGCAGGGAGGCCACGGGGGCAGGTGGCCTCAGCCCGCTTAGGCCTCCAGCAGGCAGGCAGGCAGGAGGCCACTCTCCCCGAACCTCCAGGCTAGGGGAAGAGCGCCTCGGAGGGCTCAGGCCCTACTCGGCCCCACCATCGCCAAGACCGGTCAGGGGGGCGGGGGGCGGGGGGTCGG